TGGGTCGAGTGGATCAAGCTTGAAACGGCTTGTTTATTATACATCAATGAAAGACAGAGACAGAGAGAGTGCATTAGCTGAAAACAAAAATGCCCAGAGCGCATTAGTGGGCTGGTAGGTGAACAAATCAAAAAGATTCGAGAGAAAGAGAGACCTGTTTGCATCCTGTTTTCTGATTGCTATCTCTCATCACCTTGCAGAAGCCTGAAGATATCCTTGAGAACTTTCTTCACCTCTAATATTTTTCAGCTAAAGTAAGAAAGTGAAAAGAAAATACAAATTACCTCTTGATAGTGGCTCAGAGGGTCACAAAATATGATTTGCACTTTGGAGGTCGGCTTAGCGATTTTGGAGAAATCCAATAATATGGCAAACACCATGATACAGTGTGATACAGCAGGTAATGTAACTAACTTTAGCTATGTTGTGGGTTTGCAAACTGTCGCTGAAGTTGTTGCTGTGCAGCTAACATATAGAGAAGATGAGACGGTTTCCCAGAGCCAGCACACCAGCTGCCATACTCACAACTCTCCTGCTACTATAGCTGACATCAACAACAACAGCATATCTTGGCAAACTTGGAGACGAATGTCCGTGGGCAAGTCAGTTAATGTTTCCTGACACACACATCATGGCTGGAATAACAAGTTAGTGTTGTGTTTCCCATTTACAGTGCCATAACTGTGCACAGCCGTAGCATTTTTAGCTCACAATATAAACCAGTCCCACAATCTCTTAGGCTGAACAAGGATGAGAACCATAATTAAATACAGTAGGCAGGAGGGCCAAAGAGTTCAAGTGCACACTAATTGTAATTTAAACAAGTCACAGTTCCATGATCAGCATAATGCAGACATAGCAAGACTAAATATTGCACCAAAGTCTCTACTTCATCAAGCAAAGATAACTTGGACTTTTTTCTTTCTTCTTTTTTTAAAGCTTTCCTTGGGTTTTGTGAAAGGCATGTCAAATCAGATTTATTTGCATTATTATTCTTTTTTTATACAAATTCCTAGTTCACAATTGTAGTTCATTGTTAGTGGTAGCTGTGACCCTGAGGAGGAACAGACAGGGAACAAAAAAAATAAAAGTATGAATAAATAAGTGGAAAAAACAATGAATCCAGATTAGTCCCTTCAAGGCTGTTCTGAGGCTATGGCTCAACATCTTACTGAGTTCCTCATCAGTTCTGAAATCAGTCAGTCAGTTGCTAGCTAGCATATACATCTAACATCTGTACAGTTCGATACACTAGCTTTTTGAGATGAATAAACTCAAACAGTAGGCCTAAATCGGGATAACAAAAGGTAAAGATTTGCTCTGGACTTTCATCATCCCCTGACTCGTCATATAGCGCCATCATCAGGTCAAAATTTTAAATCGGTCCAATACTTTGGATTATCAACGAATGACTGCCTAAACTTTGTGTTTCATTAATTAGCAAATGTTAGCCTGCTCACATTGATGTTAGCATCTAAATCAAAGTAAGATAATCTGATCTGTGGCAGCAGGAGTACAGCCTCACAGAGCTGCTAACGTGGCTTAAGACTCTTTGTCTCGTTTTTTTCATATTTTACGCCCAAAATATCACAAGCCATGGCTGCAGCCCGCTTGTTAATCCTTCCCTCTATTCACCTTCCAACATACACTCCATATAATTACAAAAATGTTGATTTAAAACCATTACAAACTTTAATATTCTCATTTTCACCTTGTGTCTGAATCAGAATCAGAAATACTTTAATAATCCCTTTAATAATTCCCCCTGGGAAATGTGAACATTTCCCTCCTTTGGTTCAACCTGTATTGGTCTCTGTCAACATGTCACATCTTTCTGGTATCCGGCTGATATACATTGAGCTGTGCCCAAATCTTTGAATTTACATCCTTCACCTCTAAAATAAACCAGACCTTGGATGTGTTTGTGTGTTCTCTGCCATCACATCAACATTGTAGATTTATAATTGTTACGTTAATTTGCTTCATTTGCATGTAGCTTGTGTTGCAATCCAAAACATTCATGTTTTATGAGTCCTGATTAATAATAAATGAATGTGACCATCTGAATGAATACAGGAAAAAGCTTGCACTAAATCAGTTCAATGCACTCTATTAAGGTGATAGACGTGAGTCATTTTTAAGGGAGGTGATTCTTTTCTTTGCACCATAGAGTTAGTCACATGGCTACGACACATGCATTTTGTTAAGCTCTCTCAGATCTTTCACATGGATTGCTCTGAGTGAACACACACACACACACACACACATATACAACATGTATTAGATGCCTACATGCGCACACCCAGACTTTAAAGGGCCATACTTCACAGAAACGCAGATGTATCCTGCGGGACTCTCAGTGAGGTCTGAGGTGCTTGAATCAAAGTCAAACACACACACAGAATATGAAATATCTGTCGTGATACTGACTGCCTATGAAGTCTAGTTAGTCGAAGCCTCTAACAGACTGCAGAGGATTTACTGTTTATGTACATATATTTACTCATACATTTTCCAATAACACACTGACTAATGCTTCCACTTTGTTCCTATTTCTCTTGCAGTAGTGTCCTATCTACAGGAAAAACTGCCAAAGCCAAAATGTGACCTTTATCTAACAAAAGAAACTTTCAATAAACCTGCTTGAGAAAAGTCTGCTGCCAGACTTTTAAATCGCTGCCCACGTCCTATTTTTCTCATTTATTCAAATATGAAGGTGAAACAAAATGGCAGTTCAGTCTGGTAATCTGGCTATGGTGTAATAATTAACTCTACTTTTTAATAAAAAAAAAGTTGTTTAAATAAAAACAAACCAGCATTATAATTAGAATATTTGGCATGGTGAAATCATGTGTTATCCCATTAATAGACATTGGATCTTTGCTTTTGTGGGCCAGTAGGATTTAGGACATATTGGGTTTTTCTCATATTCAACATAACAATAGATAAAACTGTTTTGTGATGTGTGTGGGAGATTGTTTCCAACCACTATTTGATGCATAGTACCTCATACTAGCTGGCAATAAAGTCAGAGATTAAGTAAAACTGTCTCATGAATTTCTGTGCTAAATCAGTGTGAGTTAGTGTGTAAGTAAAGATGTGTGTCTGGGGTAACAGATTATAATCCTCTACATTGTCGGTTTCAGCTCAAGGGTAGGAGTCTAAAAGTTGATAGAAATTGCTTAATAGTGCTCATATATTAACCAATACCAATTAACCAAAGAAACACAATTTTGTCATGATTTGCTCTTTATGGTTCCTTTAAAATCATGTCCATTTAAATTAATGCTGCAGTAAGTAACTTTTATGAAAATAACTTTGTTATATTTGCTGAAATTTTGACTATATCCTGACAGTACATAAAACAAATAATCTGTGGGGAAAAAAAAATAAATAAATAAAAAAAAAATCAGGTTTCTCATCCAAGTGCTCTTCTAGCATCAAATATGCATTTACATTTTTGTATTATTTTTTTAAGGTCACACTTTTTTAAGTGACTCTGGTTTATCTCTGTGGTCACACACTGTGCAAAGAGGCTCCCAAAAGTAGAATTTTGAAAGGTCTAACAAATGAATGTGCTGGGAGAAGGACACAAGACAAACTGGCAGTAAAAGAGTGTAAACACATTGATCTGTATCCAGATCACTTTAACCTGGCACCCCTCCCTACCTGAGCATCGTAGCAGAAATAGTGAAGAGTTCAAACAACTGGATAAAGGCTGACTGGATACTAGACAGTCTTGTTTAATTCTGCTGGGAAACAACTGCAGTGGGGTGACAGAAGGGATTTAAAAAGAAAGGAACCTGTGTGTAAGTTGCCTTTTCCTTCTCTCCATACCTAAGATTATTCATACAGTGACTTCTGAAAGGTCATATGAGAATGGGAGTGGAATAGGTGCATGACATTTACCTTTTTTTAACAGTATAAACCGTCCTCTTAATGTCTTGATGAAGGCCATGTTCTTTATTATTTGGCTTAAGTTTGCTTGATGCTGTTAGTTGTTTTTAAGGCTCACCATATACAGTGGGGCAAAAAAGTAT